TGACACTATGTGTCTGGAATTACTGTCAGATCCTTGTCAACTGAAGAATCACAAGGTTCATAAATTTTGAAAGGAGAGCTTTATTTCACATAAAGGGTTGCAGCCTGCTAGGTGGCCATTCTACAGGCTGGGAAGTGTAGCCTCTGGCAGAAGCTGAAAACAAGCGGTCTAAGGGAGGGGTAGAGGGAACAGTGATTTATGCTGAGTAGAGTAGCTAAGTATATATATTCAGTAACCTGTAGGAAGAGTCATGAATATTTATGAAAGGGGAAATAAGCACATGCACAATTGAGCTTCACACCTTTTCATGGGACCCATGTTCAAAATATGGCAGCATTAGCACAATCCAAAGGGGCAGTTTTCAGCCCTCTGACGTTGAAAGGTGAAGCAGATGACACGAAAATCCTCACTGCATGTCCTCTGCCATTCAGCAAAACAGTTGTGGAGGTGGTGGTTAGTGTTTAGGAAAGGATGTGTTGTGTAACTGGTGAGCTGTCACATTGAAACAGCAAAGGTAGAGGAAGAGTCTGGTCACAACCTCAGACAGTTGGCTGAAGGCAATGAAAGAATGAGCCATCTGTGTTTTGTTTTCCAGAGCTGGTTTCTGTTTACTCCTTAGGAAATAATTCTGGTTAAAGGTTAATAAGGAAGGGGCATACTGGGGCATGTCTGACTTGCCATTCTGTCATGGCTGGGAACTCAATTTTTAAGATGGGTTCTGTTACCAAACTGAACCTGGGTCCACTTACCTGGTGCAGTAAAGCCAAACACCCACATTGAAGTTTGCAGTGAGAGAACGGAGGGCATTTCTTTGCAGGGCACTAAGCAAGGAGAATCGGCAGCTCATGCTTAAGACCAAGCATACCTGATAGCTTACAGGAAGAGTTTTTAAAGGCAGGGGAACATTTCAGGAAAGCAGAAATTACAGGCCAAATTGCAAATCCCTACATGGAGGTTTTATACATTGATTTGGCTCGAAAAAGGTGGGATATCTTGAAGTGGGGGTCCTATATGGCATAGGTGGATTCAGAGATTATTTGATTTGCAGTTGGTTAAGGAAACAAAATTTTGTCTAAGAACTTGGGGTCAGCAGAAGGAATATTAAGGTTTGGCTTGTGGGCGTGACTTTCTCCAGACCCTTCAGAAAGCAATCTAGAGCAAACAACGGAAGTCAGGGCTCAGTCCTCAGGGGCCCCCTTATCTGAGCTCTGCTTGACAGTGGTTGGCATTTTCCATCTGGTTGTGGTGCAGGTTTCAGAAAAACAACTCAGGGACATATGTTAAGATGTTATCTTTAATTTCTACAGGGAATCAAACATCTTGTGGCTCTAACCTACTTGGGTGGCTATTGTTGTAAGCTATTTTTTTGTTACCTGGTTGCTCATTTACTTCTAAAGGCTAGCTAGATGCCTGGAATTTCCTTTGAAGAGATTCAAGATTTTTCTTTATTTTCATGCTTGAAGGAGGGGAAGATATGTGGCAGCTCACTAAGAGAGGCCCCTGCTCCATCTCAGTTTCATTAAGTTGGTTGGAGGGCTTAGAATTTTCCTGTTATTTCTCTTCCCACAGGTTTAGTCCCACAAAACTAGCCCCTACTTCAGGTACCAAGCATAAGCCCCAGGCTGTAGCCTGTGCTTCTGACCAACTAGGACTTTAAATCAGGATACCCTTGACCCTCCTCCCCGGGTTCGATTAATTTGCTAGAGCAACTCACACAATTCAGGGAAAACTTTACTTACATTTACTGGTTTATAATAAAAGATATTACAACAGATACAGAGGAACAGCCAGATAGAAAAAATGCATAGGGCCAGGGAGCTTCCATGCCCTCTCGGTGCACACTGCCCTCCAGGACCCTCCACGTGTTCAGCGATCCAGAAACTCCCTGAACTTAGTCCTTGGGGTTTTTATGGAGGCTTTATTATGTAGACATGATTGATTACATCGTTGGCCATTGGTGATCAAGTCAACCTTCAGCCCCTCTTCCCTCTCCGCAGGTGTCAGGGTTGGGGTAGGACTGAAAGTTCCAGCCCTCTAATCACATGGTTGGCTTCCCTGGCAACCAGCCCTTATCCTGAGGCTATCCAGGAGCCCCCAGCCCTCAGTCATCTCACTAGCATGTAAGAAGATAACACTTTGGAAAGCTTAAGGATTTTAGGAACTGTATGCTTATTAGATCACAATATTATATTCCCACATAGAGAACTGCTGTGTCCCTAGATTTATCATGTGCTACTTCTAATTTCTCCACGTAGGACTTTCTGATAGGATTGATTCCTAGCTATCTGACTTTATAGCCCTAGTCCCTGTAATTTTCAGCCCTCTATTCTACATTTTTGTGGGGGAAAGATTACCTAGGTGCCGAGGCAAGAGACTGAAGGCACAAACTGTTTCAATGTAATAAAGAAAATAGTTAAAATAAGAATAGTCATAATACAAATTAGATATAGAGAGGATCATGGACAATTATCAATCATTATTATAAACATTATTAATCATTAGCTTTTAATATTACTCTTTGTTGCATTACTAATATAACCTAGGAATAACCGGCGGGTATAGGGTCAGGTGCTGAAGGGACATTGTGAGAAGTGACCTAGAAGGCAAGAGGTGAGCCCTCTGTCACGCCCACATAAGGGCCGCTTGAGGGCTCCTTGGTCAAGCGGTAACGCCAGTGTCTGGGAAGACACACATTACTTAGCAGACCGCGAAAGGGAGTCTCCTTTCCTTGGAGGAGTCAGGGAACACTCTGCTCCACCAGCTTCTTGTGGAAGGCGGGATATTATCCAGGCCTGCCCGCAGTCATCCGGAGGCCTAAACCCTTCCCTGTGGTGCTGTGCTTCAGTGGTCACTCTCCTTGTCCACTTTCATGTTCCTCGCGTACTCCTGGTTCCTCTTTGAAGTTCGTAGTAGATAGCGGTAGAAGAAATAGTGAAAGTCTGAAAGTCTTTGATCTTTCTTATAAGTGCGTGCTGACATATGCTGCCCTCTCTCTCTCTGCTGCGGCTACCTGAAAGGGAAGGGCCCCCTGTCCTATGATCAGGTGACTTGCTTCACCTTATCACTTAGAAGATTCATCCTCCTTACCCTGCCCTGCTTGTCTTGTACGCAGTAAATATCAGCGCGCCCAGCCGTTTGGGGCCACTGCCAGTCTCCGCGTCTTGGTGGTAGTGGTCCCCTGGGCCCAGCTATTTTCCCTTTATCTCTTTGTCTTGTGTCTTTATTACAATCTCTCCTCTCCACACACGGGGAGAACACCCGCTAAGCCCCGTAGGGCTGGACCCTACATGTTTTCCTCTGTTTGAAGGCAGTCCAATGTCCTATCTCCATTCCTTTCAGTTGAATTCAATATATATTTACATCAGATTACTGAGCACTATTTATTATGTCTTAATGATGGGTAAACAATTATGAATGCAATACCATGGACTTTACAATGTAGTTTGGGGACACAGATACTTAAACAAATGATTTTCAAGTTGTTGGTAAGAACTAAGGTGGTGGTATACATAGGGAATAGCCAGTAACTGAACAAACGTCTGTATTAAAGGCAGTCATAAGATACCAAGAAACAAAACAAAACAAAAAAACAAAAAATGAACACTCTTTCTTTGGAGTTTATAGGCAATTTGAGGAGATACTGAATTAGCCCATCAGCAAGGATTGAAAGTTCCAAGCAGCAGAATTTACTTAGTTTATCGTTTACCCACGTCTGGTCAGGACTGAGTATCACAAAGCTCTTAAATTAGGGAAAATGCCCTATGTCTAAATACAATCTCTTTTTCTTTAACCCAAGCTGCTTCTTAGTAAAAGTAGAAGCACAATTTACCGTCACTTATGAATAATTATAAAATCCAAATTGTTCTTTCTGGAGTCCAGAGAGTCCCACCCTGTGGCTATTGATGTACTGTACATGGTTACAAGTGTGCCTGGAGACTGTCTCAGCTCTTGGGACAACCAGAGTCCCTTGTAAGCAATCTTACTTCACTACAGTGGACCATACAAATATCTTATTTTCTGTGTGCCACAATATGAGAAAAGCTGGAAACCATTTCTTTAGACCATGTGCTTTAACCTTTCTTCAGAACTGGGCTAGTTTTCCAAGCAATCATTGTTGTATCTTATTAACCCTATTCCAGTTCTTTATGTAATAATGAGCTTTATTTGAAGAATTCTGAAGAGAAGATAGGACTCACAGAAGGAACTAACTTCTTTTGAAGCTAGAGAGAGGATGATTCTTAGGTCTCCAGTGAACAGTTGATTTCCTAAGTAGCTACTTTTGGCCATCAGTAGTTGAGTGCTTGAGTACCCAGCATAATGCAATTAATACTCTACTTCCAAAACTTTTGTATAGGCATTATGAATAGTGGGCTATGTGAGTAGCTGGCATACTAGGCAAATGAATCCATAAATATTATGTATTTTAGTATTACTCCTTTATTTGTTTTAACAATAACCAAAAAAGTTAGTCCTCATTATGTGCAAAACATTGGTTAGCTTAAAAAGTTTATTACTGAGACGATACCTGGTACCTACCCCTCACAGAATATATAGTGTTTTAGAGAAGACATAATTAAAGAAGTCATTGCAATGTGGTATGATTGGTGTTATGAAGAACATAAAGAAGAAACACTTACTGAGATTGCAAGACAGTTATATATGGTTACTTAGAGATAAAATTATTAGGACTAAATTGGGTGGCTCTTGTTTCTTTTAGAGTAAAATACAACTTTTGGTATGATTTAGAAGAGTTTCAACTGAATGTTACTTACTTAATTATTCATCATAACCTGAGTAATATTGCAACTTACAATGCCTCTTATGTAATGTACAGTTTGCCCAAGTAACCTAAAAAACATTGAGACTTTCAATTCGTATTTTTCCCTGACCAGCAGGTAGTCCTAGTTTTAATGTAGTATGCTTTTTACTGGTAGCTTTTAATTGTAGATGTGATTAAATGATGCTACAATTGAGTATCCTCTTATCTTTTGTATTTTTAGGGAAGGTATTCATATAAATCAAGAATTACTGCAAATATCTCCTTCTATCACAGAGCAGTTCATTGAGCTGTTGTGTCAGTTCAACCCAACCCAAGTTATAGAGACTCTGCAAGTTCTTGAGTGCTACCGTCTGGAAGAAACTATTCAGGTAAGACGAACAATGTAGAAGAGACAAGAGTAAACTATTCTTAACATTCTCCATTTGTCAGATGATCAAAGAAAAGGGGAAAAAATATATAATTTCTTTTTTAAACCTTATAAATTCTTAGTTGAGACACTCTCCTGAAAACAAAAGTCAGATTAACAAAAGAAAAACAAATAGAGGTTTATTGATATGTGCTATACCCATCATATAGGAGAGACCTCAGCTCAAAAGTATCTTTCTCAAGGCGGTGGCTTAGGGGCTTTGCTTAAACAGCATTTTAACAAAGAGCCTTAAATCTTACATAATGACAAGACAGGCGAGAGCAGTTCCAGCCTAGTAAAAAAAGGTGGGAACATGTATGGGAAGATAGTCAACTGTGTTCCCTGATTCCTCCGGTGCCTGCTGGTACCTTCTCTGGGCCAATAAGCAAGTGCTATCTCCAGTTAAGAATGTATGTCCTGCTATCAGGCAGATAGAGGCGGGGGCAAAGGATTCCTCTGCATTTTCATTGTCTTTAACTTAACAATCCTCAGTATTTGGGGGAAATGTATTTTGGTTTTGTTCGGTGCCCCCTTTGAAATTTTACTTTTAGAAAGTTTCACATATTAAAAGCCAGGTGAGTAGCTCTGGAGAGATTTGGGTTAGTGATTTTGACATAATAGATTGGCAGAGGGGAGAAAATCATTGATTGGAACAAGTGGAACGGAACGAATTCAGGTACATTGTCCCATATCTTATTGAAACAATCTCTTGGTTGTGAAAATAGATCAGTTTAGTTAAATAGTTGCATCTCACTTTAGGAGGTGGTGTGGTAAGTGGGTTTCCATCAAAGTCAGTCAGGTATAGGCACATAGGCATTTAATAAAAGTCATTTCTATAGAAACAAAAAGGAAACAAAAGTTAATGTTCGGAGCAGCCTCTAAGCTTGTCTCTCAGCGTTCCAGAGAACTTTCTGTCCACAAATAAGTTGTTGTGGTGATTCCTCCAAAATTTATATCAAGTTGTCTAGCTTTAGTGTGCAGAGCTTCATGAAAAGCAGTTTTAATTTCAGTGATTCCAAGTCAGAAAAATGGAAGAAAATGTTCAAATATTAGTTTGGAGAGTTCGTCAGATATTGGAGGAAACTAAAAATTCAGGATATAGTCAAATTGCAAGTAAATAATAAAATCTCAAAAACTGTAGTTAGAATCTCATAATGTTTGCTGTAGTTTTTTTTTCTGAAATAGTTGTTTCTCCAGTTACCCCATTTTTACCAAAAATAATCAGAGTAAGTTCAATTGACTTGTAAAATAAGTTTAGTGTCATTATATTTATTATTTACATAATACTATTTTTTATATAAGTACTACAAGATTATTTATATAAGTACTACAAGAGTAGTGATCGGCCATTTAGGCTTTTTAAAAATCTGCTCTGCTGAAACTTACAAGAAATCTCACAGTAGACCTTTAAAAATCTCTCATCTTCAGGCTGGGAAACGAAGCCGCGGGCTTGCCATCATCAGATTTTACCTGTAGTACCGAGGTATACTGTTTTCTTGAGGCCCCCAAATATTCTGAAGTTCCTGGGCTTCTCAGGAAGTGACGTTCTTTACTTACTGCAAGTCCAGGAACCCTGTAAGCACGCCATCTTGACAAGGGACCAGACCAGTTTTTCCAAGGACTCTATTGCCTCCTTAAAGTTAAGCTTAGTTTCTTAAAGCAGCCTGGTTATATCTAAAAATAATGACATCCCAGTCAAAGCCTTGGTAATATAACCCGTGTTTCCAATTTTTCTGCTACAAACAGAGCAAATTCTTACTGAACTCATGAAAATAACTATGTTGCCATAGAATATGAATATTCAGTTTCCAAATTTGGGAAGGATCAGGTATAGAAAAAAGTAAATGTTTTAATTTTGCCTCAAAAATATACTTCACCAAATTATTGTAATGCTATGGATAGCCCTCCCAACCCCCGCAACCCCCACCCCAGAAAAAAAAGTTTTCTTAACTCTGGAAAGCAACATATAAAAAGTATCAGCAGTGTTTCGAACAAGTCATAAAAAATTATTTCAGTCCACTGTAATTAATTCTTATTTTTCTTAATGTCAGGTTAGCCATGTTATGAGGCCAGGTTTGTTTGCTTTTTCCATTGGGGTTTGGGAAATTTTTACCCAATTCAGTGGTAATATGGTGTCACAGTTGTCAGAAACCTGTATTCAAGAATGTTTGTTGCACTCTTTTTCATGACCTCCTTGAAGATGCAACACTTTAGAATTTGCAAGGAGATTTCAGAAAAAAAGCATCAAAATAAAGTAACTGTGGACAACATGACTTAAAATGGCTGTGATTAAAGGCATAGTTGTCAAAGATATTTGGTTATTTTCTGTGGCCTACAACAATTTAACATAATAACCCAAAATATGACTGATAACATATACCAAGACATAACCAGATTTCTAGGAATCTCAGAATTTTGGAACACATATTAATAACACTATATACAAATCCAACTCAAAGAAACATCATTTCTTATGTGACAGTGTTTCCCATATAATTTAGCACATCAAATGAGCTGGTTTATGATCTCTCTTTTGTATGCCTCAGGGACCCTCTGCAACATCCCAATATTAGGTTGAGGTTAAAAAGACTCAGTTTTAGAATCTGAACTTTGATTTTGAGAAGCCTGTCAAATACGTCAAAGGTTTAAAGGACTGGATCAGAATAGGATCACAGTTCACTGTAAAATAATGATAATTCATGAGTCAAAGACATAATTAAAAGGGAGACTCACATATGACGTTACCTGTGTAAGTTTATACCTACTAAGTGGTAGCCCCTGAGATTGAACCCACATAGTCTGACTCTATAGTGTATGCTCTTAATTGCTGTGATAAACTGCTTCTCCATTTATTTTAGTAAAGTCAGCTTTATAGAAATTGTTATTGATCAGCATGATAGAAATTCTAACCAACTCAATAAGCATAGAAAAAGGAACATAGTAAAAATATTGAAAGGAGACCAAACTCTTGTTTGCAGACACAGATGGTTAGATAGTCCTGTTGTGCCATAAAACTTAATAGACTAAATAGCAATTCAGTAACTTTAGCATATTCATTGCCTTAATTCTCTTCCCTTGTTTTCTCCTGTTTCTAAATGAAAATGTACAGACACACACATTATTTTCTGTAACAGGTTAGTATGTTTCCCTTTTAACATTTATTTTTCAGCTATTACGTATCTCTTTTCCTTTCCTATCAACACTCCTAAAACAGTTGCCTGTATTTTCTGCATCTACCTCCTGAATTGCCCCCACATACTTTAAAAAAATGTTTAATTATGAAATATTTCAAATTTACAGAAATGTGCTGAATATCAACTATGTATATACCCACCAACCAAATTTTACAGTTAACATTTTGCCATACTGGCCTTAGATCTTTGTTATCTTGTTGTCCTTGTTGGTTTATATTAAAAGTAGAGCACCCATTATCTTATTCCCCCCTCTCCCCGAGGGCTCCACCATCCTAAACTGGTGTTTATCCTTCTGATCTATGTTTTGAATTTTTTCTATATGTGTATGTATCTATAAAATACATATTAGTTTTATATGTTTTTAAAATTTGTATTAATATACAGTAGATATTATAAATTGCTTTTTTTAAACCAATTTTTTTTTTTTTTTTTGGAGACAGTCTCTCTCTGTCATCTAGGCTGGAGTGTAGTGGCGTGATCTCTGCTCACTGCAACCTCCACCTCGCAGATTCAAGTGATTCTCCTACCTCAGCCTCCCAAGTTGCTGAAATTATAGGCGCGTGCCACCGTGCTGATTTTTGTATTTTTAGTAGAGATAGGATTTCAGCATGTTGCCCAGGCTGGTCTTCAACTGCTGACCTCAAGTGATCTGCCCACCTTGGCCTCCCAAAGTTCTGGGATTACTGGCATGAGCCACTGCATCTGGCCACTTTTACTAAATTAAAAAGAAAATTTTATACATGTAGATCTACTTCATTCACTTAACGATCTTATGGTAATCTATCAAATGAATGTGCCAATTTATTTCCCTCTTGGTAAACATTTAGATAGTTTCCAATCTTTTGCTATTATAAACAGCGTTACAGTGTACATCCTTATATATATCTTGTGTGCCCATATGAGGTTTGTCTAAGTAATATTCTTGGAAATGGAATTGTTTAGACAACAAAGTAGTGTAGTTATACTGATATTGCCAAGTTGATTTACAGATTGTTTCTATTCTCATCAGCAGTGTCTGATATTTGCTATTTTTCACATCCTTGCTGATGCCTAGTATTCTTAGTCTTAATTTTTGCCATGGTGGATATTAGTGATTACTCATGACATTAAACATCTTTCCATATGTTTGATGACCACTGGAATTTTCTTTTCTCTGAATTATTTATTCATGTCATTTGCCAATTTTTTCTGTTGAGTTTCTGTGGTTCTCTTACTGAGTTCTAGAAGTTTTTTTCTGATTTTCCAATCTCCAATCCTTTGCTAATTTTATGTGCTGGAGATACTTTCTTCCAATTTATTATGGCACATCATTTAACTTGGCTTTTAGTGACTTCTGTTTTAGTTTACCAGTATTTATGTCTTAAGTGTGTGTGTGTGTGTTTCCTTTCCTATTTTAATGGAATAAAGGATATTCTCTTATATATATAAATTTTATAGTTTAGCTTCTTACATTTAGGCTTTTAATTCATCTGGAGTTAATTTTTGCAAGCTGATCAAAAGAAGGATTTTTATCTTTTCTTCCACATGATGGCTAATGGTTCATGTGGCATTTTATTATCCATTCCTCACTGGTTTTTAATGCCATACTGCCATATACTAAACTCCCAAATATACATGACTCTGTTTGTGGGTTCCATTCTCTTCCTTTGATTGTCCTTCCCTATACCCATACCACATATTTTAATTAATACAGCTTTTCAATAGATTTATTATTTGGAAAAAGAATCCTCCCTCTTTATTCTTTTTCTTTAAAATGGTTTGGCTATTTTAGTGTCCTACATCTCCTAGTATTCCACATTAATTTAGAGATCACATTGTCAAGTTTCTTTAAAAGAAACAAACTCTCTGGAATTTTGATTTATGAATACATTGAATTTATAGACTGATTCAGAGAGAATTGACATCTCTAAAGTGTTGATTCTTCTCTTTCAGGAAAATGTATGCCTTTTAAAACAGCCTTTTCTGCTCTTTGGTGAGGTTTTATAGCTTTTATATAAGGTTCCTGCACATATTAAATTTGTTCATAGTTACTTTATAGTTTTTATTAATATTGTACAAGCAGATTTTTTGAGATGACCTTTTTTTATTGATTGCTGCTGCTTATTAAAATGTTACTAATTTTTGTACATTGTTTTGTATGGAGCAGCCAGGCAGAATTCTTTTAAAATTCAGTTTCTAGATTATTATGACAATAAGACTAATGGCAGTTTTATTTTAATTCCAATCTTGTAGTTTTTTCTTTCTCTTATCAGATGTCTAGGATCTCTAAGGCACTGGTGAATAGAAGCAGTAATAGTGTGACTGCTAACCTTGTTCCTGATTTAAAAGGGAACATATCTAATATTTTACATTAAGTATGATATTTATCATAGGATTTTGGTAGATAATTTTTATTAAGAAAATGTTATCCCCAGTTTGAGTAAGAGTGTTTTGTTTTTGTCATGAATGGGTGCTGTATTTTGCCAAATGCTTTTTCTGCATTTATTGAGACTATGATGTTTTTTCCTTTGTTCTGTTAAACTGTTATTGTTTGTTGTCTTTTTTCTTCTAATAAACATTTTTTCTAACTTGTTAATCTTTTCAAAAAAGCTACATTGGAGTTTGTGAAATCTCTCTATTGTTTCCCTATTGTTTGCCGTCATTTTCTGTACTTTTTTCCTTTTTTCTCCCTAGCCTAACGGATACTTCTTTTTTACTAATTAGAGATTTTGTTTATTAATTTTTATTAATATTTCACAAGTTGATGTGTAATGTTTTCATTGTCATTTTCAATTTTTTAATAATTATACTTGATCAAGTTCTAGTTTGTATTGTTACTATGTATGTATATACGCTGGCTTTTCTCCAGTGTGTATACCTAATTCAGGTGTGTAACTTTTTAAAAATAAATAAATGAAAAAAATGAGTGAATTTGGTCCAGTTAGAACTGCCAAATGAGCTACTATATGACTAGAAAGTCAGTTATTTGCACATTATACTGTAAAGTATCATACTAATAAGGTATAAATTCATTATTATCATATGAATATTTTTCATCCTCAATGGGATCTTCCCACTCCGCAAACAAGTTTGGTGAAAAAAATATTTATCTTTTTTATTTCCTAGATTACTCAGAAGTATCAGCTTCATGAAGTCACTGCTTATCTATTGGAAAAGAAAGGAGATATTCATGGTGCCTTCCTAATAATGTTAGAGGTAACATTTTACTATGTTTCTTTCATCATGTTTCTGTCTATTCCTCTATTCATTCATGAATCCATCTTAATTTCTTATGTTTCAAAGCAAGTTGCAGACAGTAATATATTTTACCCCTGAATATTTTTATCATGCATAGCATTAACTAGAGTTTAATATTTCTTTGCGGTACTTTATTAAAAGGTAAAATGTACAACAGTAAAAAGAAATGTCATAAATGTACCATTTGATGAGTTTTTGACAAGTATTTTTATGTATATACCACAATTTGTTTGCCCATTCCTCCTTCAGGGGACACTTGGGCTGCTTCTACCTTTTGGTTGTTGTGAACAATGCTGCTGTGAACATGAGTGTACAAATACTTTTGAGTTCTTGCTTTTATTTCTTTGGGATATATACCCAGAAGTAGAATTGTTGGATCAAATAGCAATTCTATTTTTAATTTTTTGAGGAATTGCCCTACTGTTTTCCATAGCAGCTATGCCACTTTACATCCCTACCAGCAACACTCGGGTTCCAGTTTCTTCGCATTCTTGCTAACGCTTACTTTCTGTTTTCTTGATTAGTAGTCATCCCGATAGGTGAAGTGACATAGCAGTTTTGTTTTGTTTTGTTTTTTAATGTTGTCATGTGGCTAGGAATAGATTAGGGATATCATATTTATATTTTAAAATGTTCCGTATTGGCTTCTTGTTTCTTTCTAGCCATATGATTCTAAAATAAGCCAGGAAGAATCATCCACAGAGGCTTTGTGTAGGCTCTTAATCTCTTTTAATCTGTAAATTACTCCTATACCTCTTTTTTTCTTGCAATTTATTTGTTGACAATACCATGAACCTAGTTTTAAGGGATAAATAAGAGTATTTTTGACATTGATGAGAGGAGAAACAGGAGATCTTTGTGGGGAATGAGGCCATTATTCGTAAAAGAATACAAAGCGAAGAAGTATGGATTGCTGAAAGAGTGCCAGCAGCTTCACTAGGGCTCCGCTGTGTAACGTATAGGCAGGTCAGGTGAGAAACAACGGCTAGGTCCAGATTTGGACAGATTTTGTTGGACACACTAACGAGTTGTGACTAATCTTCTTATCCCATGGGATCAAATAAAGGTTTTTAAGCAAGAAACTGATTTGATGTTTGTTTCATAAAGACTGCTCTGGTGACTGTTGGGGGATGGAAGGCAGGATACAGAGAAGAGGGAGGTAAAACAAAGCAGACAATACTTGGGAGGCCATTGCAATGGTACAGGTATGAGTCTCTGAGAGCTTGAACTGGGTGTGTCAGTGGCAATGGAGATAAGAGGGCAAGATTTGAGAAGTTATTGATCATTTGCATATGGTATGAGGTAACTGAGAGGGAGTAGTTGATGATTTGAGCTTATAAGCTTTTTACTCATAACCCAGTATATTATACCCCTTTTACTCATAACCCAGTATGTTAGTCTCTTTTGTGTTACTCTAAAGGAATACTTGAGGCTGGGTAATTTTTAAGGAAAAGAGGTTTATTTGGCTCACAGTTCTGCAGACTATGTTAGCATCTAGCATCTGCTTCTGGTGAGGACCTCAGGAAGCGAGGGTAAAGGAGAGCTGACGTGTCACATGGCACGAGAGGGAGCAAGAATGGGGTTGGGGGAGGAGTGCCATGCTCTTTTAAACATCCAGCTCTTGTGTAAACTAACAGAGGGAGAAGTCGCTCATTACCACAGCGGGGTGCACCAAGCCATTCATGACAGATCCACTCCCATGACCCAGACACCTTCCACTGAGTCCTACCTTCCAACGTGGGGAATCACATTTCAACATGAGATTTGGAGGAGTCAGATATCAAAACTATATCACCTAGTATTAATTGGATTCCCTTATCTAAAGCTTAGATAAATCCTGATCCTCATTCCTGTGCCTAAAGAATATAAGTGGTGACTGTGGCCAGATGACAGAAGCAGAGGTGGGCAAAATGAGTGCTACTTGATCTTTGGGTCCCTTTTCATACTGCTAGCTACACTGTCTGTAAACACAAGATTTTGCTTCTGACTGACAGTAAAGGACTGTTCTTAATAACCTTGTAGTTTTGAGGGTGTTACCTTTAAAATATGTTAATTCAAGTATTGAGTGGGTAGAACTACAAAGTGTTCCTTTTTAACTCCTATGTTCTTTTTGTCTCCTAGAGACTACAAAGCAAACTTTGGGAGATAACACATCAAGGTGAAAGTAAGTTCTTAAATATAATTACAACATTTTTCATCCATGGACCCCATGTTTTAAAAGATATGTAATAAATTGCATTTATTATGTAATAATTACACTTGCATATATGCATAATTACTGTTTATTCGTTTTAACATGGATCCAAAGAGTTCATAACAGGAAATCATAGAAACCATTGTGGCTTTGTGATGTTAATTTTCTTTTTTTTTTTTTTTTTTTGAGACGGAGTCTCGCTCTGTCACCCAGGCTGGAGTGCAGTGGCCGGATCTCAGCTCACTGCAAGCTCCGCCTCCCGGGTTCACGCCATTCTCCTGCCTCAGCCTCCCGAGTAGCTGGGACTACAGGCGCCTGCCACCTCGCCCGGCTAAGTTTTTTTTGTATTTTTAGTAGAGACGGGGTTTCACTGTGTTAGCCAGGATGGTCTCGATCTCCTGACCTCGTGATCCGCCCGTCTCGGCCTCCCAAAGTGCTGGGATTACAGGCTTGAGCCACCGCGCCCGGCCGATGTTAATTTTCAATGGAGTTAAATATACAGAAAATTAGGCACTGTTTGTTGGTTATCTTTATTTGTTTTTGAGACAGGCTTTCGCTCTATTGCCCAGGATGGAGTGCAGTGGCACAGTCTTGGCTCACTGCAACCTTCGTCTTCCAGACTGAAGCAGTCCTTCTGCCTCACCCTCCCAGGTAGCTGGGACTACAGGCGCATGCTATCACATTGGCTAATTTTTGTATTTTTTGTAGAGATGGGTTTCGCCATATCACCCGGGCTGGTTTCAAGCTCTTGGCTCAAGTGATCTGCACACCTCAGCCTCCAGAGGTGGTGAGATTGCAGACATAAGCCACCACGCTAGGCTGGTTATCTTTTTGTTAATAAAAGTTTGGTTGTGTTTAAATGAGGTATATAATAACATCCTAAAAATTAATGTGCCAAACAACAGCAAATCAGAGCTTCTAATTAGTAGGACGTTGAACATAACCAGTGTTTCCAAACTGAATTTATACAGTTTTAACCCAAAGCAGTAAAAGTTGACAGTTTAGTATCTTGAGTGGCTTTGTCCTCAGCAAATATAAAATTTTCATCATATTCCTTGATATTTCAAAGAAAAATTATTTTAAAAAATTATGGTGGCGAGGCGTGGTGGCTCACACCTGTAATCCCAGCACTTTAGGAGGCCGAGGCAGGCGGATCACCTGAGGTCATGAGTTCGAGATCAGCCTGGCCAACATAGTGAACCCTGTCTCTACTAAAAATACAAAAATTAGTCAGGCATGGTGGCACGCACCTGTAGTCTCAGCTACTTGGGAGGCTGCGGCAGGACAATTGCTTGAACCTGGGAGGCAGAGGTTGCAATGAGCCGAGACTGCACCACGGCAGTCCAGCCTGGATGTCATGACAGAGCAAAACTCCATCTCAAAAACAAACAAACAAACAAACAAATTATGGTAAAATATACCCTAACATAAAATTTACCATTTTTAAATGTATATTTCAGTAGTATTAAACATATTCGTGTTATTATACAATCATTACCCCCATCCACTTCCAAATTTTTTCATCTCCCCAAACTGAACATCTGTACCTATTAAGCAACAACTCCCCTGTTCCCCTCTCCTCCTAGCCCCTGGCAAACACCGTTTTACTTTCTTTTTTCACCATTTTTTTTCTGAATTTGATTACTCAAGTATCTCATATGAATGAAATTATATAGTGTTTGTCCTTTTGTGACTTATTTATTTAGCTTACCATAAGGTTCATAAATGTTGTAGCATGTGTCAGAATTTTCTTCCTTTTTAAGGCTGAATAAAATTCCATTGTATGTATAGACCACGTTTCATTTATTCATTCATCCTTCAATGGACACGTGGGCCACTTCCACTTTTTGTCTGTTATGACTGATGCCACTATGAGCATGAATGTACAGTATCTCTTCAAGACCTGGCTCTCAGTTCTTTTGGGTATATAACCAGAAGTGGGATTGCTGGATCAAGTATTAACTCTGTTAATTTTTTGAGGAATGACCATACTTTTTTCCCTAGTTGCTGCGTTATTTTACATTCCCACCAACAGTATACAAGGTTTCCAATTTCTCCACATCCTAACATTTATATTCTGTTTTCTTTTATAGTAGCTATCCATATGTGTGTGAGGCAGTATCTAATTATGGATTTGATTTGCATTTCTCTAATGATTAGTGATGATTTTCTCGAATATTTTGGCTATTTATCTACCTTATTTGGAGAAATGTCTATTCAAGCCCTTTACCCATTTTTTAATTGGGTTGTTTGTTTTCATATTCCTTGACATTTTTAAAATAGCCCTCCTGAAGATCAGGGAATCACTTGGTGGGTGATTTTTAGATTATCCTCTTTAACGCACATGTCTTAGAGACTTCTTGGTCCACACATTTCACTAATACATGGTTTCCCTAATTCTCTGTAGATTACTTCCCTGTATTTTTGTAGTAAGATCCTAGATGATAGGGTCTACGTTGTTTTATGATCGTCAGGTATTATAGTAAATCTTTTTGGAACGTCAGTGAACACTTGATTGACTTTTTATATTGGAAGTTCAACTGGACACTTAATTGCTATTTTTGTACTATCAGTATGTGTTCAGTCAAGTTGGTTATGTTTGTTGCATTTTGTGGTAATTTTAAAAATTTAGTGTTATAAGAATAACTTTTCGGTTTTTTTTATTTTTCTTTTTTCTTTTTTTTCTTTTGGAGATGGCATCTCTGTTGCCCAGGCTAGAGTGCAGTGGTGCAATCTTGGCTTACTGCAACCTCTGCCTCCCAGGTTCAAGTGATTAGCAAATCCTCCCAAATACCTTAAGCACACTATCAAAATGGAATATGAAAGTAGAGGGGCCGGTTGTGGTGGCTCACGCCTGTAATCCCAACACTTTGGGAGGTCGAAGTGGGTGGATCACCCTGAGGTCAGGAGTTTGAGACCAGCCTGGCCAAGATGGTGGAACCCTTGTCTCTACTAAAAATACAAAGATTAGCTGGGTGTGGTGGTGGGTGCTGTAATACCAGTTACTCTGAGGCTGAGGCAGGAAGAATCTACTTGAACCTGGGAGGTGGAGGTTGCAGTGAGCCAAGGATTCGCCACTGCATTCCAGCCTGGGCAACAGAGTGAGACTCCATCTCAAAAAAAAAAAAAAAAAAAAAAAAAGAAGAGAAAAAAGAAAGAAAGTAGATGGCAGGCATAAGACTATTTTCTGGAAAATTTATTTCACTAGAATTCAAACCACTGGCC